CGCGCTGAATGGTACTTAGCATTGAAGCAAAATTTAACCGACTGAGCAACTTCTTGACAACCTAGCTCATGCTAGTACGTGTTTTTTATACTTCATGGAGAACTTAAATAATTGTGAAATCAATTATGTAACTCGATGGCTTGCGGTTGGATTTTTTTTTTTTTTTTTTTTTGACGGCAAATACGATATCTTTCGGTAATGATGGTTTTCTCTTGCCCACTGCGGCAATGCCATACTTTACTTGTAGCCTACATGGATTTACATTTTGTCTCTTGCATATGGTTGCAGATTTTAATAGTACTGGATGTTTGGTGTTTTTACTTTGCTCATGAACGTGCTGGTTAGCTATTCGGAGGATAATATCAGCTCCCTAGTATGTCAGTGAGTGCACGCGCAAAGTACCACAGAACGTGCGCTGACTTGCCCGCACGTTGGCTTTCGGCGACGCGAAAAATGCACGCTCATGAAAACACTTGCCATATTTTCAATTCATATTCCATTAATTCTAGGCAGTTTTAAAGTATTTTTTAACCCTTATTTAACCAGGGAAGTCCCGTTGAGATTGAAATCTCTTTTTCAAGAGAGCACTGAGGGTTGAGGTGGGGAGGGAGAGGGCAATTTGCACAGCCAAGTAGATCAGGGGATGATTAGGTGGCAGGTCAAAAGAGCCAGGTTGGGACTAAAAGGGCATCTAAAGTCGATTCCCATTGTTTTTGTTTATCGGCCAATCAGCGAGCCGCACCTGCGCAAACCGAAATAGAATAAGCATGCACACAAAACATTGGTTTATATGAATGAAACTGGTCATGTGACAATGCAAGGTGTCAACAAAAGCAAGTGATTTGTTTGTAAACATTGGACGTTCAACGTCCAGTCTGAGAATCGACTTAAGATTCCATTTAAGCCATGACACCGGGGAACCCCCTACTCTTATAGATGAGTGTCATAGGATCTTTAATGACCACAGTGAGTCAGGACCTCGGTTTAACGTCTCATCCTAAAGACGGCGTCTCCTTCAGTATAGTGTCCCTGTCACTGCACTGGGGCATTGGGGATATTTAATATCAGTACTTTGTGTACAGCCAGCTGATCAGCGTAACGAATATAGATATATTCATTTCAAATTTGATATAGTGGAATAAAACCTTTGAAATATGATCAAAGTGCCCATTCACAGGTTAAAAAAAATAAATATTTTATATTGATAAATGTTGGTCTTCCAACACAGAAATTAAAGCACTTTTTTGTAGCACTGTCCCCCTATTTCAGGGCACCATGACATACAGGACAAATGGCTTCAAATTTATTTCTGACTGGTCGGGTGTGTTCAGTTTTGTCTTAAATGAAAGTATACATGAGCCTTCAGTGCATCTAGTCTTGATGGCGGGCATTTAATTACTTTCAATTTTTATTACTATTTTTCAATATGAGGACCAGAATTCCACCAATGCAAGTTAAGAAAGCAAAGAAGCGACTGAGGAATAGAAAGCACTGTGGACAGGCTAGACCTTAGGGTTACCAAATACAATCATTTGAACAACAGGAAGTGGAGAGGGGGCTTTGGTGAGCTGAGTTATTGCAGAGATCCTCGTTGGCCTAGGATCACCTCCTGTGCAGTTAATGGATAATTGTAACATAATGAAGGAAGGCCTCCAACCACCCGTCCAACAGACCGAAGACGCTTCTCGTGGGGCAGGCACAGATATGCCAGTGACTGCTGTCCTCTGACTATTCCTCAGACAGAACTTAGGAGTCCACAATGCAAGATGCAAATGACCTGAAAAAAATGGGATTGCCATGATTTAAGCTATATTCAACCATACCCAGCAGAGCTTACAGAGGGCTGGAAGAAGTTTTTATTGACAGATGAGCACAAGATTTCCTGCTATCAAGACTTAGGTGTAAGGTCAAAATTTACTGCCTGGGATCCAATGCACCCCGCCGCTCTATATCAACAGAATGGCAGCGATATCTGCTGAATCACTGGATCGCAGGGGCATCTCATACTGCAGAATGGTACTGATTCCTCACACGCACCCCTGGAGCAAAGCAGTAGCCAATAAAAGACAAAAACTTGGAAATTCCCGGCCGGACACGCCACTCAACCAATCTCAAGTCAACCAAAAAAGCTTTTATTATGGCGACTTTTCATGAGAGAAAACTGACCCCCAAAGTTTCAACCCACAAAACGGGTCAGGACTGAGGACTGTTGCAGTACTGGCTTGGAATGCATCAGCAGAAATATTCAGGCCCTGTTTACACTCTTCAAGCAGTCAGTACATGCAAGGCAAGCGTGAGGAGGCACTAAATAGGATTACTTTTATTTACACATAATTATTAAGCCGCAAATGTTATTGTGCGCTATAATTGGGGGTGGGTGTGGGTGTGTGTGGGGGGAGTGGGTTCGAATTACGCTGATGCACGAGAATTCTCAGCACACCTGGCGCTGTCAAGGCAAACCTCGATTACTGACAAACATACAAAGGAATTATTATTTATACCTTATTTCTAGGAAATATGTGCACAGATGAGTGGATGCGCCCAAAAGCTCTCAAGCAAGTCACACATTGGAGAGGCTAGGCATATAAAGTGCTGCAATTGTAGAGTTTGTTTCCAAAACGCAATATATCCATTTTACTCATTTTAAGCAAATCAGCTTTTTCTATGAATGAATAGGGAAAAGGAGCGCGTCTTGGGTAGAAAATCAAAATCACAGTACCAGGTGCTCTTAGGCAAGGGGCAAAGAATGTAACAAAAATACTTAAAAAGAGTCTAAGGCACTCTGGTAGTGGAAAAAAGTAAAAAGCCTTTATTGAATGGCTAATACATCGGCAAGATTAAAAAAAGCGCACCTCTGGCGTTATGGCCTGATGAAGGCCTTCATCAGGGTGAGGTCACTTTTTTTAATCTTGAAGATGCATTAGCCGTTCAATAAAGGCTTTTTGCTTTTTTCCACTACCAGAGTGCCTTAGACTCTTTTTTCGTATTTTTGTTACAGCTTTTTCTATGTTGGTGCCTATTGCATTTTATGGAAAAACACAAACTTTGACCATGAAAAAATACACCTTAATACAAATTTCTAAAAACTGACTTTTGCACGATGTGTAAGCAGCACGGGGCTATCGCGCCATGGCATTATCTCAATTTTTGTAATTTTGGCCTTTATTGCATTTTGGAAACAAACTCTTCAATTTGTACTTGGAGAAATGGAACTGTATTGTATACCATTAAATATAAGATTAAATGGCTGCACTATGGTTCGAGCTGGTGCTGTACAAGGAGGCAGCTCTAGATTTGACTGCCAGCTTGATGGATCTTTTATGGGTGGAGTTTCCATGTTCTCTGTGTACAATAATGCTGCAACAAAAACATCCCTGATTGGATTTTTAATTTGCTGTCCTCTAGTCATAACTTCCATCCCTTTTGTAAATAACATTGTGGTTTCACTAAAAAGGTTGAAATGATCAACTCTGACACAGTCAATTGACTTCTACAGAGAGCGGAGACACTCTTTCCTGTGTTGGATTAAGTTGACTCTGTAGGAATTTTTGTTTTTCAATTCTGGACATTATACTGAGCACTAATTGCAGTTCATGTAGCTATTTGTTCAGTGTGTTTTGGTAGGTTGAAAATGTATGATCTGTCATTTTGAAATGAGCACAGTATCATTGCCAACAGAGCTAGCAGGAACTGACCCACTGTAATAGAACAGAAAGCTCCTTTGTAATTTCAGCTTTAGTCAGTGCCAGCGGGTCAGAACCCACAGAACCCGCAGCCTGTATTTTCACTGGCTGCGAGGCGGAATGAAATTAAATGAAACGTCAGAGACGTGGGCTATTTATTAATTGTGGAAACCAATTTTTTTTTTTTTTTGGTTCGTTCTCTTTCAAGGGTTCTAATTGCACACGGTCCCCATCAGATTTTGCTGTGTAAAAACACATCTGAAATTTACAGAAAAAGTCCATAAAATAGTGAGATGACACTCAAACCCACAATTTTTTGCCTTAGGAGGCCAGTGCCTTATCTATTAAGCCAGGGGTGCTGATGAGATCACCAAGGTCACAGTAGTCGTCAGAATAAATCATCTCTGGTCTTTCAAGCAGAAAATAGTAAAAATTAATGGATTCCTAGTCATCCTTTAGTAGAGCAGCATAACTGCGAGGAGCAGTATTCCTGAATATCCAAATTATGTCTCCCCCCCTGAGGGAAAGGGGAGACGTTGTTTTAGGCTCGGTTCCTGTTCACATTCACGTTCGCATTCCCACATCATTTCCGGGGCGTAACTCCAACACCGTTTGCATGATCTTACAAAACTTTGCATACTAACTACTCAGGTCCTGAAGTGGTACCTTTTGGTATGTCCCTGTCTGTCCGTCTGTCTGTCTGTCCATCCGGATGTGATCAATTTCTGTCCGGAGCATAACTCCTAAACCGTTTGCATGATCTTAATACAACTTTGCATATTTACTACTCAGGTCCTGTAGTGGTGCCTTTCGTTATGTGACTGTCTGCCTGTCCATCCATCCTTCCAGTGGGTAAGGTAGGGAACGGGGCCAGGGGAGAGACGTACGTTTTACGTTCTAATTATCTTTCTGTTGCCCTTTCAAACATCACTAAATATTCTGCAATAGATTAGAGAGAGAACTTGTCGAAGCAAGGGAAGGACTGTGGTCCAAATGATATTGATTTCTGAAAGCTTGTTGAGTTTCTGCAAAGGCTGGTCTTTTTAATTAGGCTGCGATGTGAACGAAACAAGTCCCACGAGTGGCTAGATACGGGAGTATATTCCTAAGACCTAGTCATAAAATTCCTCACCTGTCGTAATAACAGCCGCTGACACCAAACTGACTGGCTGACTGAACTGCTCAAGGATGAAAATTTACTCGTAAAAACTTCCATGAGATGTTCTGAAACTCAAGAGGAATCCTGACAGAGAACAGAATAGTCTACTCAACATTTCCAAGTCTAAGGAATAAGAGTGAGGTTTTAAGATGCAAAGAGATGCAGTAGTGCAGTGGTTAAGCGTGTTTGACTTGGGATCAAAAGGTACTTAGTTCGAGTGCTGGCCACGGCCTTCGCAGGGCGTTCTTGGGTGAGGCACTTTGCTCCCACACTGCCCCACTCCACTCAGGTGTATAATTTGAGTACTGGCAAATTGTCAGCGAAACCTGATTAAAACCTGGGAGAGTAACCTCCGATGGAAGAGCATCCCATTCAGGAGGAGTAGCAATACTCCGTCACTTCATGCTGTAGAAATTGGAGTTTAGCACAGAGTCTGATGGGTCACTCAGCATGGAACAGACCTACGTTTAAGATGCAAGATTATGCAGAGATTGTTCAGCTGTATAAGATTAGAAGACGATGAAAAAGTGGTTGCTAAGCACATTTAAAGCCACAGCCCAACAGATGGGTGCTGTAAACTAAAAAAAAAAAAAAAAACGTGATTGGTTTCCTGGTGTGGAAACGGACAATGCTGAACCCTGTTATTAAATCACAGAACGTCTTTACTGTTGGAAGAAAGTGGACAGTTCCTTAGTGCCTTTTTGTATAAAGAGGCAGCTGCTTCCTCAGTAAAATTCATGCTGATTTCCAGTTCAGACATTGCCTAAAATGCAGATGGAATGTGTTTGTCCCCTGAAGTGAGGGGGAATGATTAATCTCCAAAGCCATCCTCTGCACGTGGCGATATCCTCTGTTTGGGATATCCAGCTCAGGTTAATTTCTGTGAGTCTTTTTTGTTCAAAGTGGTCAATAAACTCATGGCAAGCCCAGTACGCGTAGCTAACAAATTGCCTCTCGTTTACCCGTCCATCGCTAGGCAATGTTCTTAGGTGGTCGTCTGAAAAGTAGCCACCTGTGCCTCTGTAAACCAAAGCTACAGTCTGTTTCATGGCTCTTTCTCTCTCTATACCTTTCTCTCGTTTTCTCTTTTTCTCTATCTTTCTGTCCTTATTTCTATTATTCCACTTTCTTTTGATTGTTCAAAATGGAGAAAGGTTACTCCTTGAAACATTACTTTTCTGTTTTTAACTAGCAGGATTTTGTTTTGCTTTGCAGTTGTTCTGCGTTGGGTTTATGGTGTTGGCGGTGTATGGTTTGGAGTGGGTGTTCATGTTTTGTTGAGCCTTGTGTTATTGTCACAACAAATGCATTTGAAAACTCTCTCTCCCTGTCTCCTCCAATCACAGTGCTGTTCTGCCGAGTAACAGCTGCTTTCCCTGGATGAAGCCGGCAGGTGACGCTCAAGCCTGAATAATGGCGGTACGCCGGAAGGATGAAAGGATTGAAGGAAGAGGACAGAACGAAGGGAGGAGGGAAGACAGGAGAGATTAGGGTCCAATCCAGCGGTTGACCAATTCTTTAAGCTGCCCCTCCAGTTTGAACATCAGCTGCTGAACCACAACAGTGATTGTCCTGTTCAGTTTACAGCCGTAATCACGCAATAAAATTTCCTCGTTTTATTTCTCCTCTCTGTTTCATCTGAATGGAAGCGCATGCTCAGTTGTCAAAACTCTAGAGCAAAGTCTCAAGTTGAAAAATGCAAGCAGCGAGGACCGAAAAGACAAACAGGAACAAGGGGAGATACCAGGATGTCCTGTCGCTCTGTAGGTTCTTGCATGGAGAGCCCAGATAGCCAGATTGCCTGGGGGGAACCTCTGAGATTCACAGCACCTCCTTCAGGAAACCATTCCTGGGTCTTATGCCTGATGGAAATGCTGTAGTGCACCTAACAATATAGCTACATGCCGTCCTCAGTTATACATAGAGGCAGTTTCTGTCCATCACCCTTTTTTAACAACTTTGGGGCAATGTAAAACAACAATTTAGTTGTTTGTTTATTCAATGATTAAGACTGACAGAGCAGTTGATGGCATTTCACAACAGAAAATTGATATTAATCACAACATCAGCGCATTGACATGAGACTGTTGCAGCCAAAGGGTATGGTGTGGTTTCTTGATATAATCCAGTCAAAACCATCTTCAGCGGTCTAAAAGTGGCCGAGTATTTGCATGTTTGCAAGTCTTGTCAGTTCTTTTTAATGTGACCAAGTCCACATGTTTGATTTTAAAATACTTATAAACTGAAACAATACATGTGGTAGATTTTTCCATTGCAGAGACCTTTTAAAAGGAGTGGCTGTTTCTTAATATATACCACTTGATAAAACGTTTTGCAGGGAATATCAATTACTCTCGCCAGTCTCGAATAACAAGCATGAACTGCATTTCATTGGTGACCTGCCAGCAGACAAAACAGTTTCTTTGATGAAGTGTGCTAGCAGACTGCCTTATCTCAATATTTTAAGTATCCTGCCAGCTTTTTAAAGCTGTGTTTAATCTGGTGGAACATACTTTGGATATTTGTAAACAAGGGCGCAACCTGCATTTGGAGACATGTCCATGCTAGAGAGAGGGGGTCCCTGCCTCTCCATCCAGACAAAAAGACATTGTAGACGTTTGAAATCTTAGACGAAGATGTGTAGTTTTGGTAGCTGGCATGTCATAGTACAATAGAAGACCGGGGACTGAAAGAGAAAACTTTAAGCTGCCTTACATTTGTTAGGGAAGGGAAGAACACAACCAACAGCTTGCCGTGGGATCGTTAATGGTGTTTTTTATTTTCTTTTTTTTGATGAAGACTTTCTAAACCATCTGAATTGGCCCCAAAAATAAGGCATTGAAGATATGACCACAAGTTATGTGAATCTGATGTAGTCTCTGAGTATTCTCTTAATAACAGAATTTTGGCCACTGCGTGGAATTTTTGAGTAGGCCTTAGACTGTAAATAGTTGAGGTGAGGAGTCTTATTATGTATTAACCTTAAGGTTCGAGTTTTAGTGAATGGATGCGCTACGTACTCAAACCGCTGGCATGAAGAATGATTAATATTTTTTACCTTACAGACAGGTCATTCTATTGTAATTATAAACCCACAATAGATGCAAAACAAACAATCTTTTCTAAATAAGGCCTGAACAGTCCCAGCCGCTGACCGCGAGACCTCGTGCAGTCGTGGAGGAATATATTTCTGAACCGACGTTTTATAAACCAAAATTCAAAACAACTGTGGAATCCGAAATCTCTGGCCACATACCGTACACTGCTTTTCCAGGAACTTGGGATGTATAATTTATACTTCATTATATTTCGACTGAAGTAACGGACCTCTTGACAGCAACACAAATCAAAAGGACCCAAGACTGCAAGTTTGCGAAAAGAAGAAATTTGATAAACGACGCATTCGACATAGTTTTACCAGTTCAGCAAAGCTAAACAAACTTCACTTTTCTGTGTTTCCCTGGCCCCTGATTGCTGTGGATGAACGACTCACAAAAACGAGGCGAAAAACTAAGGTTTGGGTCACGCAGCTGCAGCATGCTGGTCAACTCCAATCCAAACCATCAGAGGCATTAATTCCTGCTTCTTTCTCGAGAAAGTGCTGTGGCTGTTTCAGGTTACCTGCAAGCTATACCACATTGAGTAGCCTATTTTCTATCACTGGATTTATTGGAGGAATTAAAGACATTTTAAATCGCATTTATCCATCCACTCTATAAACATGAGTCTTGGGAAATTACCGAGCATAAAAAGCCTGGTTTCCTCGTCGCAGAGGAAGAGACGCTTTCGGAAGGACCTCACCGCGGACATGATCAGCCCCCCGATGGGCGACTTTCGCCACACCATGCACGTGGGTCGCGGTGGGGACGTGTTTGGTGACACCTCGTTCCTCAGCAACCACGGTGGCACTGGGAATGGGGGTGCGGGGGCTGCGCCCGATTCTCCCGCGGTGAAGACCCCCAGTCTCCTCTCCCGTACGCTGCGCCATGTCCGCAAGACCCCGACCCCACAACAAGACTGCACTCCGGATCTCTCCACGCCTCCCCCTGCCGTCTCGCCCATCATCAAAAACGCCATCTCGCTGCCGCGGCTGGACGTGGACGCTCCCAACGGCAGACTGCAGAGGGCACTGTTCCCCAGCCCACCCAGCTCACCGGAGGGCTCCACCAGTGCGTACGGTGAGTGTCGTCCGTAAGATCCGCGGCTGCTGACATACCCTGTTACTAGTAAAAAAGAAAGGCTTTCGCCCACCTCTTTTTTGGGGCAGGTGCGTAGGAGAAAGCCCAAAAAGGGTCACATTTTGAAAAAACTCCCGCGCACTGTCCATTCCGCATGCAATTAGGCTATTTATTCACAACTTGTCATACCCTGTTACTAGGACTGTTGTTGAGTAATTTGCTTTTCAATGAGATCCACAGAAAGCCTCTCCACCGCAGTCTACCTCCTAATGCAAACAAAAAACCTATGTAGCTATGGCAGTACTGGTCAAACAATGGACTGCTTACAGTAAAATATTGGGTGTTGATTTAACGTCGCACTGTGCATATATGAGATCAATGGCACCTATTGTATTATTGAGAGGTGCTAAATCAACACACAACCTTTTATTCCAAGCAGAGATTAATGGCGTGGCCTGCGTTTCACTCTGCATTACCCAGAATCCTCTTTGCCTTTAGATACTTGATGATGTTACAGCCTGGGTCAGGGTTACGGGTGGGGGCTGGGGTGCAGTTACATCTGTTCATAACAGAGGGGAATGACTGAACCATTATCGAAAGTAAATGCATCACCGCCAGTGTAATTATCCAGACTGATTCTGTGAGGGTCATGCTCATATACACAAATACACAAGCACCCACGCAGCCACACACACACACACACACACACACACACACACACACACTCAGCTTTGTAAGAGGCGGTAAGGTTGTCAGCAGGGATTGGTCTATTGTTTTTCTTCCTGAGGGGAGATAGTGGATGGGTCAGGAAACTCAAGTTATCAGCTGTGACTGTGGATCTGGTCAGGAGGCCATGATTGCTACAAGGGTGGAGGGGTTGAACTTTGGGTTGAGTTTGTGGACTGAGTTTTGCTGACTATCCTGAACACAACACATGGATTTTGTTTACCTCCCCATTTGATGCCCTGTCTGACAGTTACTGCCTTAGGCGACTGTCAGGGCCTACAACGGGCCCCTATCACCAGTGATCCTTGGTATTGATTTGTTTGGATAC